TCGGTGCTGTATAAATATGCTCCAATCGCACCAAGGTAACCTTCATGGCGAAGAAAGAGAGGCGTTACCCTGTCCTAAATAATAGATATGTAACAGTAATATAAATTTTACAGAAATGCACAATGTATGCAAAGACACTTTGATGCATGTACAGTACCCTCCATAAATTTGGGAACACCCTACGTTTTACAGGAAAGCCATTATATGACAGCGATCTATACATGTGTTTAGTTTAAATACTTCGTAAGATGTCTAAATGATAATAAACATTTATTTAGAACACCTATAAGCTTGCCGAAAATATGTTGGATAATCATTTCATAGCATCAAAGCGCTCAAGATAGAATTTGGTCTATTGTTTATATGTATATTGTTTTGTGTATATGTATGTTGTCACTTGTTTTGCAACGTACTTGTGTTCATTCCATATATACAGGTTATTTAATTGTAGTTTAACGGTTTCTATAAAAGTGGTAAATTATTTGAATCGCAAGTTGATTTCAGACTCCGTAAAAATTGTAAAATGGTACCGACAAATCAGATGTATGAATCACATTTTAATTAAAATTCCATATTTTAATAGCATGTTATTAAATCTTTAATTAAAAAAAGACGAAATAAAAGTACATACATACGTACGTATAGGTAACGTACGTATGTATGTACTTTTATTTATTTTTTCAATTAAATAATTATTTATAAACCTGTAAAACGTAGGGTGTTCCCAAACTTATTGTAGTTAATTATTTAAATTATTTGATTCAAAGACATATAATAATTAGATCCATCAAAGAAACATTGTAAAAGATCAAGAAAAAGTTAACATAATGACTAACACGAGACCAATATTTGATAGAATATGACATGGTATGCATTGAGAGTGGATGGTTACGAAGGAAATAACCACCAAAGTAAACCCTGTCCATGTTGTAAACAGTTGCATACAAACTAGCTATGTGTCCAATATCATTGCTGATGGTGAACAATAAGCTTCTTGCAAGATCAGCTTCAGAAAATTTTAGCTGTCCTAGAATGTTATTAATATAATTAATACCTGGTACTACG